AGAACATCTCAATATTTTTGCAAGGGATGATATTGATGCAGCTGCTGAAGCATTAGACGGGGTGAGCTTTATTTCTTAAATTATTTCTTATAGAAGCTTTTGGCTAGACACTTTTTGAAACTTCATAATCATAGTAATAATAAATTATGTTATTTTACGACCTCAAATTCTACCTCTTCTTAAATTTGTTTGAACTCATTACATTAAAAAATTCTATAAAATGTATTTGTACATAGACGTTCAAAGTAATTCTCATTTAGAAGCTATAGATAAAGCTTTAATGTTCATTTTTTTACTCTTCTTTTATACCCCCATCTTATGGTATTTTTTGTCTTGGATGAGCAGTCTATAGCATAGGGGGTTCTAAACAATAGTTATAAACTACTGATTTTTCATTACTCTTTATTTATAGATAGAATGACCTCAACACTTTTTTTATTTTTCAGATGCCATTGAAGAAATTATATTCAGTGATAAACAGGGCTGCCACTGGAAAGGAAAAGATTGATATAAATTACTTCTTTGATGTATTGGGTGATGATGTATTTACTTAAAATGCCATTTCGGGTTGCACTTTTTTATTTACTTAAAAAAATTATGCATTACAATGCGTTGAATTTTCTGAAAATATTGATTCTAATTTTTTTTTTAATATCTATTATAAAAGATAACTGATAATATATGAGAATAATCTTTGGCATCTCCACTTGAATAAGTTGGTGGAATTTCACCTTTTATAATTTATAATAAATATAATGATCACATATTATTATTATTTGTTTATTGGAGAAATAATTTGATTTTATTATTTGAATGATATTTTATTTGTGTAATCAAAATAATTAATCATTGCATTATTTTGAATATTTCTATAATCAAATTTTAGATGTAAGTGGAATTTAAATTTATTATTTGTAATAAATAATATTGAAAGAGAGAAATTAAATATTTATCTTTTTTATGATGTTTGATGTTGCATAAGACTGAGTTTTTTATTTACTGATAGAGACATAATTCTTTCTTCAATCACATGAGTTTGATTGTAAAACATTTAAAAAGAAAATTGAACTTAAATGAAGATATTATTATTAAAATATTAAATTTAAATAATTAAAAATAAATAATATAAACAAATTAAATATATTATTCAATAAAATATACCAAAATTTAAATAATTTTATGAGCTAGATTTTTTTAAAATGCAGTATATAAATGAAATAAAAAATAAAACGAAATCAAAATTTTATTCATCTAAATATTAGATGTTATATTTACATAATCTCTAGAATTTTATTCAATGATAATATAATTTGTGGACCATGGTAAGTGGTGCCGTTAATATCTTGTGAGGAAATGACAGCAAATAGTATTAATGGATAGGTTTGATTCATGGGAGACCGACGATGGCTTTCAAATTATTATCATGTTTATTTAACTTTATCATAATTCACTGAATGAATTACTCAAATATTAAATTTAATGAGTATTATTTTTTTAGAAATAATTTATTTATTTTAAATTGCATAAAATAATTTAAATAATTAAAAAAATACATCAAATAAGCATTATTTTTTTCGAAAAAAAAAAGTGATCACAAACAGGCGCTTTGCAATTGCAATATAGTTAATAAACAAATTATTAGTTCAAAGATCAAGAGCATATATTGATATTTTTGTGCACATCTATGCTCAAAAATAAAGTTACATGCTACTTTATTCTTTGTAGAATCTATCAAAATAGATTGTTATATTAAGAATTTTTAAGTTGACATTTTAAATAACAGTAATTTTATAAGAAATAATTTTAAATTAGTCATTTAAATGTCACAAATACCAGCAAAATATATTTTACATAAAACTTTTTCTGGTGGTTACACCTAAATACCTATAAGCATGTATCATAATTAGATATATTAAGATATATTTTAAATTTAATGTGAAAATGATAAGAATATGGAAAAAAACATAAGAAATTAATTATAAATTTAATTCGTATAAATCATTTTTTACTTCTTAAAAATTGATTATCTACTATAAAAAATGACATTAAAGTATACTAATTAATTTATTGAAGAAATAAAATACAAATAAATTTCATTGAACTTACTTTGGAATATTCCGTATATGTATATCAAAATACGATATTGAGTTATTTCTGTTTAGTATATTATAGAATTTAGATCAATTTTATTGAAAATTATATTTAATATTGTTGCGTGCGAGAATATACGCGGCGGTAGAGTTTGTAAATTTGCGTCCTAGCGTTGCACGAGTATTCCGCACACAAACAGAAAAGAGAAAGTGAACACCAAGGTTTATACGTGGAAAACCCAAAAAGGGAAAAAACCACGGGGC